GACGCGTCGCATTCGCGCTTCTGATTCTACTGTTTTTTTTTTTTCTCCCCAATGGGGGTCTTTGTGTGTGTGTGTGTGTGCGTTCATTTTGCGATTTTTGTTTTTGTCCTTTTTTTCGCGCAGTTGAGAGTTTTCCGCAAAAACAGCTGCAAAAAAGCACGTGTCATCGCTGACTCGCCCATTTCAGCGTGTGCGCTGCGAACGATTTCCCACCGCTGTCCCCCGCTTTTCCCGCATTTCCCCCACCGTCGTGCGTCTCCCTTTTCATGGTCGTCAGCTTTCTTCCCTCCCCCCTGCTTTATTTGATGTTTATGCTTGCGGATTTTCTTTTGATTCGCTGTTCGCGATGTTGTTGATGTTGTTGCTGGCATTTTCGTAGACAGGACAAATCGGGGAAACCCCCAATGCCGATGATGATGACGGTGACGAGATGATGACGACGATGTCGTCTGTTTGGCAGCCGGAAGGAGAAGTAGTACATAGTTTCCCCCTAGAGTGCCCTTTTCGAATGCAGTTCTTTGGCAGTAGTTCTCCGTTTCTTCGCTATTACTGCCACAGCGAAATTATTGATTCGATTTCTCGATTTGGCCGCAAGCCAAGCGCCGACTTGGTTAAAAGCATACTGCGAAAATACTGCCTTAAGATAGCACTCACACACACTCATACAGATAGGAGAGACCCTATAAGGACACTCACGTGCTCACAGATACAGTGACCACTCTGCCACAAAAACAGTTAATAGGATCTCCAAGAGTGCACCCCGCACTCTTCTTGGTGGTCAAATCGATGCTGCAATAAATAAAGGACATTCAGAAGTCCTTCGGGGGGCGGACTACAAAGAAGTCGCCGCTGGGACTGGCCTCGCCAGCGTCGCTGTGTTGGTGCAACTTGAGACTGCTGCAGTCTGGGATTCTCGCTCTCGACTCGGCTATCTCTTTATCTCTCTGGCAGCGACGCTGGTGCTCTTTGGGTTTTCCCGACTCCCCCTCCACCCCAGCCCCCCCCATCGAAGACTTTCCCAGCTGAGGTTTGTTATTGTTTTTCTTGCGATTTTGCCGGCTGGCGGCCGAACGACCACATGAATGAATATGAATATGAGCGCCCTCTCTTTCTGGCCGGCCCCCACGCTTCCGTCTCGCTCTCGCGGCTCCATGGTAACTTTGGGGCCTCAACTTCGGGTCGCATCGAACCTGTTCGAAGGCGAACACAGCCAAAGCGTCTGAAGAGGAGAGGGAGCTGGGGCGGAAAGTTGGCAATGGCAATAACCGGAAACGGAAATCATATTTGGGCAAGTTCTAATGCCCGCCGAGCCATTGCAATTAAATGGCCAAATGTCAATTGTTTTAAGCTTGCGAAAGAGACGGCACCAGGGGCAATGAAAGAGATGCCATGACAGCCAGACACTGCCATTAACCGTTAATGCACGGATCGTAAATCGAACTCTGAGAGGTAGGTGTGTCACCTGGACTTATAAATAAAATTAACAACCCGAAGGGGGCCCGGACGAGCCCGGAGAAGAGGTTAAAGGCGGAAATATTTGCGCGACTTGTCGTTATTGTTGCTGTAATTAATGGCAAACAATTACAAAAAACGAAAAAAAAAATCCGAAAAGAAAAGGAGAGACACAGAAAAATGAACGCCAAGCCAAAGCCGGAGAATGAGGCCCCGCCGAGTGGAATTACAAAATAAAATGCGAAGAGCAAGTTAAAAAGTGAATTACCTGATAAAGGACAAAACGCGATTTGAGGTGTGTTTGCTGGCCATCCATCCCCCACTACCCCCAAAGCCCCAGCCCACCTCACAGCCAATCCATCCGGTCAGCTATGCGTGTGTCTCGGGTTAAACATCGACTCTCAGCATGGGTTCCCCAGCGGCTCCCAAACAGTGGTTGAAAAAAGAGAATTAGAAAAACATTTTATTTATTATTAAAATTATTAAAAAAAGTATTTTCTTTAATAACCAATCCTCATATTTTGTTAAGTATTATTTACCCTAAAACTATATTCCTTTAATTTTTAATCTGTAACCACTGTACTTATCCTTTACATTGTTGGAAAAACTCCCCTCCACCACCACCTTTAAGCGGTCAGTGTCCAGCTGACGCGCTTAATTAATTACGCGATTGTATTGGTGACTAACTGGCTACGGTTCCCCACCCTCCTACCACTCCTCCCCTTTATTTGTGGGCCCAAAAGTTTTGTGGTAATGCAATCGCTTGGTTTTGGGGAGGGCACTGGGAGTCGTGGGGGGCAAGGACGTCGCGTCACTGGGGAGAAATTAATACCCACTTAAGTCTGACTGGACAGATGTTTGTTCCTCCTCGTTTCTCCCAAGGTGGCAGATTCTTTTGCCAATTTTTCGACTCTTCAAAGGTGAATCACAAAGCGCATAAATATAGCATTCCGAGAACTGCCAGGCCAGTTGACGTTCTCGAGGACCTCTCGCCTGCATATCCCCCATTTTCTCACTGGAGTCCTGCAATTATCCCAAGTCTAGCTAATGCAGTCGAAAAATTATGAAGTCAAAAACGTTTTTATTACCGAAAATTACAATGTGTGAACGGAAAGGACGGCGGCTAATAAAGGCGAAGGGGTCAATGGCAGTACACTCGGAGAAAAGCAGTAGCCAGGTCCTTCGGGTTAGCAGCTGTTCGACGGGGTCAAGCTAGTTGCGGGATGGGCTGGATAGTTGTGGGCCCGTCAGCAAATAAACACCCTCACCCCCGGCAATCCGGCAAAGTATAACATAGCAGGAGGTTAATTTCATTAGAAATTCATAATTTTTCCATATTGGGTCGAAGGGGGTCAGAGGTCAGAGGGGGCAGGGAGCAGGGAGCAGGGAGCAGGAGGGCTGTCTCAAAGGGCGTTGCTTCGACATGTGTAAATGTGAGCAATAAAAAATACATTTCATATTATCCTGGCCTGGCCCGGTCCTGGCCGTGTTTATGCCTCCCGTTTGTTGTAGTTGCTCTGTTATTATTGTCGTAATTTGTTTATAACGGTATTTATGAAATGGTCGCAAGTCAACGCGTTCCAAACAACAGCTACGGGAGCCGCAACCCTTGGACACGCACCGCCAGGACCCCCGATCCTTATGCCCCACGCCCCCTATCACCAATTATTCTTATTACGCCTATTACTACATTTTTTTTTTAGCCACTTTCGCTTGTTGTTGTTGGCTGGGCTTTCGGGTTGTCCCACAGCGTTTGCTGACCTTTTATGTTAATCGCATTTGGCTTGTAAGTCTCGGCCACAATGGGCCCTGGAGAAAGGGAAGACTTGTAGCCAGTAATTGATATGCGTCCTAATCATGCAATCCTTTGGTAGTGCCCCCACCTGCCGTCCTGGCTGAGGGACATCAACTTTGGTTTGTGGCTTGTTAGCTGAAAGGGAAAGAAGTAATTACAACTCGAATGACGTCAGCCTTCAATTAATGAGGAGGCAAGCTGGTTATTTCCCGCCCATTTTTGGTTAATCTACACATTTTACTTTAGTTTAGTGGACAAAAGGTATTAGTACTTGGCTTAAATCCCCATCTGAAGCCCCATCTCCATCACACAGATCTGGCATTTGCTGGCTAATTAATAAACTTTCACATATCTGATTTCGGAAATCTTTTCACTTGAAGCCGCTTGAATGAATCCGAATCTAACCGAAAATCGTTTTATGTAAATTATCAACGAAAGCAATGTCGGGGGAAATAAGTCGCAGATGAGCCAAGAGGCGGGTTTTTTTCTCTCTATTTGTATAATTTATTGCATTTTGATAGTTGGAGTTTAATTACAGCATTTCACCGCGATGTTTGGTGTTTGGAGTGAAAGTGCAAGTGGAATATTTCCTAAAAATAGCCATACAAAAGTACCAATGGGCCAACTAAACCTGAAGCCGTATCGGTTGCGATTAACCTTTGACCTCTCGACGGCCAGGTAGAAAAAACAGTTGCACTTTCTGGTCGTGACCCCTCTGGAAATCATAAAACAATAAATCTTTTTAATATCTCTCCTGGTTCTTGGACCTGAATTCTTTTGGCCTCTTTTTTCCGCCGTTTCTGCTGTTTCGTGGGCGTTCGTTTCCCTTTTCTTTTCATTTTCTGGAAGAGTTTCTCACGTCCTTCGGCTGGAGAGGCTGCAGAGGGTCAGCTAGAGGGGCGTGGCCATTACTCAAGTTTGTGGATTTGAAGTAATAACTCAGTGCGTCATAAAAATTTTAATTGCTTTGGGTTTCTTCTGTGCGAAAGCAGTTCGGGTAATTAACATTAACCCAAAAATGTCCAAAAAAAGTATACAATGCCCGAACAATGCAAAGCACCCACCCACAACACCATCGGCAACATCAGCAACATCGGCCACATTAGCGCCAGCAACATGCCACGAACAATGAGGCAATAAAAATTGCAGCGCATAATTTTCCGAACCACCACCGAACCCTTTTTTTCCCCTCCAGCTGGACGTTGTTATAGCCTGAAATTTCCACGCGTATCAGTAATTAGTTTTCTTATTGTTATTCTTATTTTCTTTAGAGGCAAGAGTGGGGGCTGGAAAGTTGGGGGATGGTGCTACTATCCCTTAATCAGAATAAAGTATAAAGGTGCCTGGTATGGTCAAGAAGGGATCGCCATGATCTGTTGTGTGTCCTTCCACACACAAAGAAGCAGAGCCGCCTTGTCAAGCTGGAAATTTATTCGTGGGACCTCAAGGCCCCGGAAAATCAACAGCCAATTGTTCGGGTGTGTGTGCTTGTGTGTGAGTGCTAAGTGGGTGCAATTAGACTGGTCCAGGTAAACAGGTAGAAATTCGGTTTCAACTTTGATCCCAATGCATCGAATTGAGCCACGCATCGAGAATCGAAAGGTGGCAATAAATTCTGATTGCAATTGACACTTTTATCGCAGGCTCAACGAATCGAAGACCCCAGCAGGGGGGGAATTCAATTTAAAATATCTTCTAATGGTCGAATGTATCTTTTTGTTGTTCTTGCAGCTGAAGCATTATAACCACCAGCCCTAAATCCAGCCCTAGCATCACAAATACCATTTCAAGGAAGGCAACTGCAACGGCGAGGCATTAACCAGCGGCAACATGTGAGTACTCGTTCCACTCAAATTTCCATTAAGGCGACTTGGGCAAATCAATTCGCTAATTGAATGTCGGGCAATTGAAAAGCTTCTTAATATTGTTAAATGTGAACGAGTTGGCATCCCTCGAAGCGGGCATTTTTCCCTCTGGCGTCTCCTGTCGTCGCCACCGCCCGGTTAACATTCTTAATAGAATCAAAGAGCGACGCAATATAACTTTTAATTTGGCGTAATTGTGTCGGCCTCAGTCTCCTCTTGTCCCACAAAAAATCTGCCCCAGCTATAGTCCCTGTACTGCCTAAGCTGATATAGTCACGGGCCCCCTGCAAGTGTACAGAAAGAAATTATAGGGGTTTTATTAAAGAAACAAAATATTAGTTAGTCTTGGAAGATGTATATTTTAAAGCAGAATATCTTTAGTTATAGTTTAACTTTTTTTTGGAATTCTAGGAAGTATTTTTCTCAGTGCCCTCTTGTTGTCCAGTCAACAATCCAGATTTTCTGCTGTTCGCCACCGCTCTATGGCAACAATAAAACACAAAATTCGAATTGGTCAAAGCAAACGCCAAAAAAAAAAAAAAAAATTGGAGGCAGGGGTGCCCTGGAAATCAATTAACCAAATGGCGCGAGTACTCGACCGCCGACTGACTTTTGCATTGGTTAATAACCGCTTGCAAAAAATCAAACGACACACAAATAGAGAATTCGATTCAAAATCGAAAAATATTATATATGAAGCATCATCCCCTGTACCGCCCGCAGTCCCAAACATTCTTTTGAGGAGCTTCAATTGTCTGCACTTGAGTTCAATTTCTGGGGGCTGCCCAAAAAAAAACCGAAAGAAATGCTTTTAAAGCTCGCATGCCGAGCGGAGAACGAGAAAGAGTCTTGGGGTCTGTGGTGTGGAGGGCAGAGATGTGTATTTTCGTCATAACTATAAATTTTATTGAGATTCAAATGGTCTGCGTTCAAATTTAGACACAATTATTACTTACTTCAATGACGCCAGACCTCCGAAGGGGGATGGAGAGAAGACGAACGAAGTCGAGGGAGAAAATCACCCCATGGGGTGCTCTATAGGAATTGAGAACTTCAATAAATGAGAGTTTTTAAAGTTAGAAATAGAAAACCTAAATAGTTACTTTTACTGGTAGAATTCTATATAGGGTAGTAGTAACCCTCTTTCCCCCATCTATCTCCTCCAGTAACTAGACAGTTCGTCAAATGACAATTACAACGACTTAATTACTTTTAATAAAGACGTCCGTATGCAGGCAGGCCATCAGATAAATACAGCTCTTCATTAGCGAAAAAATATACTCGGGACTTTTTTGCATAATGTCTCATTATGCTTAGCCCAGAAAAAAAGGGGGGGCTATGATGGGAGGCGGGGGTACGGGGTCTCGCCTTAATACATACAAATTGAAAATTGATGAATTTTTCCGGTATAGAGCCGAGGCTCTGCTCTGGCCTGCAGTGCAGCTGGCCCCCCTGGGATCGCACTCGAATATCAATTAGGCCACTGCCCAAGGGGTTGGGTGGGGGTGGCCGAGGATTACCTACAAATCGAACTACAAATTCGATCGATGTCTTGATCTCCAGAGCGATCTAACAAACAATCAATAGACGAACAATCAATTGCTCCAGAAGGGAAATTACTAATAATAATGACTTTAATTGAATATTGCGCACTTCATTCACTCGCTGTTCTAAATTTACAAAAAGTGGGTGTGGGAGGGGTCCGAATCATGGGATTCGGGGGTGTAAGCATATTATCCATTATAAACTTCCAATCGACCATAAACACTGAGGGAGTGAGGGGATCGATCCGGGGCAATGTCACAAGCAACATGCTTTATATTTGGAAACGCCGGGTAATGAAGTTCGCCGATTCTCAGGCACCCGAGTACTCAGTGGTCCTCCTCCCCCATGCCATTGGACCTCTGAGCAATTCAAGCATGAAAGCAATTTTTAATTTATTTTGGTTGAGCGCTTCACTTTTTCCTAAAATTATGACATAATATAGCAGCTCGCATCTCGCAGCTCACAGCTCATAGCCAAGGCAGCGAACCACCTAATAATGTCATATGGAAATTTACGAGTACCGAACCCGATCCAAAAACGAAAAAAAAAATCCGGGCGGGGGAGCACCCGGACTCGGGGGCAGATTGTGTGAACACCTCGACGGCAAAAGGCAGTGTGGGAAATGTATATTTGGATTTGGATGGCAAACACCTTCACCTTCCGCTTCACATTCGATTACTTCTTCTATCGCCACAACCCAGCCAACCCAGCGGAGGACCCGCGACACTGGCTGACCAGTTGTCAGTTGGTTAATGTTATAATTAACCTGGCCAACTGGCAGCCATCCCCGGCAGCCCAGGTATCGATCCGTCAGACGACCTCCGAACCCAATCAAAGCCGCTTGCCCAGATTATCTCAGCTGGACTTGAAAATCGGATTGACACTTTCAGTCTATAAGTGTGTCCCGTGTGTGTGTTTTTTGGCTTAAAAGACAAGGTTATTTCAATAATCTGTAATGAGTTTGGAGAGTATTTAAAGAGGGAAACCAATAAATAATTATTTGAAATAAAATAAGTCATGTTTCTGCCCTTAAACTTATCTCAAACCACATTTAATTAGTTGGCCCACATCCCGGTATCTGGTCTAATAACAATTTAGACCAAATACCGTGGGCGCAGGAGATGGCCAAAGTATGTAAACACGATCGTTAAATAAAAAATTAAAACAAAAAGCCAACAAGAAACGAAACAATCAAATAAGAGAGAGACAGAGAGAAGAAGTAAAAAATAGAAAACGGCCGAGAGGAGAGGAAGGGAAATGGAAACAAGTTAACCAATGAAATAAACGCAAATTTAATGACAACAAACGCGCCACGCACAACTTGGCCAATACGCGTTTTCCATTATGCCCCCACTAGCAACAACAACAATAATGGCCAAAAGCAGCCACGAGAGAAGAGGAAGAGCTAGCCAACAAGCACTTTACAACAAGAGATCGAATCGGTTGGGAGCAGAAAACGAAAACTACAAAATGGAATACATAATACACATAAAACACACAAATAGTGAACAATGAATTAAATGTTATAAGATGTAGATACGATGGGCCATGGGAGCGACAGAGAAGAAGTCCCCTCAGATCCCTCTGCCCACCTCTACCTCCGACTCTGAGATACACATTCGTGTATCTGTGTATCTGTGCGATCCACTGGCTGTGATCTCTCCTACTTAAACTTTGAATTCAACTTGTTTTTTTGGACTCTAGCGGCGACTTTTATTGCTTTTCAATACCGAAAGTCGACGGTTAGTGGCGGGCATACCAGAGGGAAAATTAATGCCAGTATATACACCAGTGGTGTATCTATAAGATACGTTGTAGACATTCTTGGCGATGCCGCATCTATTGTTATTGTTGTTGCTGTTGCTGTTGCTGTGGTAGTTGCTTTCTCTTTGTGTTAATTGTATTCGAATAATGATGATGTTGGCCTGCATCTTGTATCTGGCGGATAGTTGGACTCTCCGGCTAATTTAATTTATGGCCAGTTTATGTAAATTTCCAAAATACCATTTGGTCTGTTGTCTCTTCTTCTTTTGGGCCATTCTCACACCGTCCAGCACCATCGTTTTGGCCGACCAGATCAATTTCTGTCTCCGTATCTTCAATTTCTACTTCTACGCTTCGGTTTTAAGTTCTTTTTTAATATTAACCATTTTTATTGAAGACGACAGCAGTTCATTGACATTTTATTGTATATAAACAGCAGTATCTATTTATCTACATATCTGTGTAGTATCTGTATCTGTGTATCTTTATGTGGCTTGCTTTGGCTTGGAAAGAAAGTTGACGGCATCTTCGCACTGGCCTTTGCGGCATTTGCATAAATTTGGCCACACATTTCTTGGCCATGCGAAACTACCAAAGCCACCACACCAACTACCAACAACTCTTGGCTAATTGCGGCCCATTGAGATGGCTATCTGCTCGTTGACTCGACCCATTAAGAGAGCCATTCCACCGGAGTTGGAAATTAATTAGGACAGGTTGCTTCCATAATGGATAGTGGGTGCCAATAAAAACGCACTGCAAGTCCGCGGCGATCCATGAGTAATGGTCTCTCACGCATCTGACGGATGCCAGATCGCCAGCGACCTCCACCCTGCAACCTCCGCTCTGGACCCTCCTTGTCCCACCTTGGCCACTTTTAAAGGCCATTTCAGGTTTAAGTTTCGATTGCGTTCGCGATTATTGCGCGTTTTAAAATTTTGGTTTGGGCTTCGGCCCCTCTCCTGTCTTTGGCTTTTTTATTTGCTCATTTAATTTCTGAATTTCTGAAATTACTCAATTAGTTTAATTAGCAGCTGGCTTCGACTGTCTATCCCCTCCAACGCTAGCCATGAAATAGATCGCAGATTTTTCTAAGCCACATACACTGCGAAATAAATCAGCGTTGAGGGTGCCAAGATATGAATCAGTGTGGGACGGTGGGAATTGAATTAAAAAGGCCAGAGCTTTGCAATAATCTTAAAAATTAAATAGAGATAATAAATAAGTATCATCTGATGCTAAAGAATTGCGAAAAGTGTATGAGGCTTTGTTCGTTGTCTCACCTTGATTGATTTTCCGCCCCGGGTTTGGGGCTGGGAGATACTTTTTCTTGATATAGTTCGCTTTTGATATGGCCTCTCATCTGCATCGAGTCGACGTCAAAGTCAAAGGCGACTTTGGCGACGGTCATTTGTCAAAATCATTAATGCAATTACGCGACCAGTCTGCGACTGAGACTGAGACTGCGAATGCGAGGGCTGGCTTTTCTGGACTGTCTTCTGGGCGCTCCTGCCTGCTAATTATTTTGAATTATTCAATTTCATGTCTCAATTTAAATTCTCGGAGGCAATTAGGAAAAGTCGCTATAAGTTCTCCAACTCAGTTCCCTTATCGTTTTTTAGTTTTTTTCTTTTTCGTTTTGTGTGAGTGGCACTTTGATGCGTGTCGTCCATCCAACTTTTCAAGGGGGATGATATTGTTGTAGAGCCAGAGCCTTGGAATCCATCCAGAAATGCAAATGAGCGTACGTATGCTGAGCGAAAATAAAGCCATTTAAATAATTGAAAATCGAACAAATCGCGCTGCTGCCAGCAGAAAAACACAACACAATTGGGATAACATGATGAATAATAAGCCAAACGGAGATGGAGGCTGGGTGGGTGGGTCTCTAAACAAAATGGTTCCTCCAACAACTATGACGTCCGCCATAGGTGTGCTTGTCCATTTGTTTGTATCCGTGCATATATGCAAATTCTAAATTCCATCTCTGAAAAAATAAATCAGCTGAAAATGCAAAAATTCATTATTGTATTTCAACTAAAAACTGAAATGTATCTTCGGCACTCACGACCAAAAGTCCACCTCTAAAAAGTTCTATATATTTTTCATAGGAAAACGCGAATAAACAAATCCTATATGTATGGGTTCTTGTTGCCAAATGCGTTGTAGATTGTTGATGTGCAAAATCTAATTAATTATTTCATTAAAAGCGGCATTTTATTGACATTCTAATTTGGATTTTTAGAATATTTGGCCCCAGAATTTTATATAAGCTGCCAGTACATAGCATTAGGATTGCATTCTATGTATGTATATAGAGAGGCATACATAGAGATGCGACCACCTCCCGCATGGCCAACGTGGCGGATGAGCGATTTTAATTGGTTTTTAACTAATTTGCTTGCATTCAGTGTTAGCTGCAGTTCCCTCCGAACTCCCCTCTTAAAATATTCAAATAGGAAAGGGCCAGGATGCAATGGGCCTGGCCAAAAATTGCTCATTGTTGGCACAGGATACATAATTCGATTTGACATTTTGGGCCAGGACAATGGCTAACGTTTAATTGAGATTTTTTTTGTGGGCCGAAATTCAAAACACTAAACCCCATTATTTATAATCAAAATGTTAACTCGTTTCATCCACAAGACTTCCCCCAAAATGGTTCCCATCCTGAACCAGTTGAGTCAATTTCCTGATTTTATATTTATGCGTGAATTTTGTTTATGACTTTCCCCGAGCCAGGACGCTGGCTCACGCCTCGCCATATGAAGTCATAAACGTTATAAACATAACTGTAAAAATAATGAAAGATACAACCGAAAAAAAAGGGTCCCCACAAGGCACACACAAAGGACCTCGAGTTACTTGTACCTCGGACCTTGTGTGTACATTCTAGGATTCAACCACTGACAGCTCAAATGCAAATCGTAAAAATAACAATCATCATCATAACGCGTCGCCCCTTCCTAGTTGGTAAGGATATGGAGTACAGGACATGCCAGGCAGTGGGTAGCAGGGTGATGGGAGGGTTGAAGGGATAAAATATTTACCAAGGAACTTAGATCACTTGCCAAGGCGCCGTATCAATTTACCAAAAATAACAAGTAATAAAACAAAGAGGGGAGCACTGAGGACCTCACTATACCCTGTAACTATCTATGAAATATTTTATATATCTATGAAATATATCATTATAATCGCATTACAGGATACCAAGTATTTTGGTGGCACCAATAGTTAGTACCAATTGTATAGTGCCCATGGCCAACAGCCATTTCCGTGGCTCTAGATAGGGCCAATACCCCTTGCCACAAGTACCCCCTTTTCTGGCCTACGCGTGTTTGTTCAGCCATATATGCGGATCGTTATATATATATCCTGATATTTGTATATGTACGCCCGAGCCTAGATATCTGTGTATTTGCGGATGATTGTATGTTGTTTAGTAATTCGTTTTTTATTTACCATTATCATTTACATTTATTTGTTATTATGTTACGCTTCAGTCCCCCGATTTCCCACGCCCCCGTTCTGCTATTCCTTTCAATTACACACACAAAATACTATATACCGAGGGAGAGAGGGACTGGTTTTGGCCCGTTTCGGGTACGGGTCTGGGTCCGGGTCCGGGTCCTGGCCGTGTTTTTGTTTAACGCAAATTTTGAAATGTTTTGTTTTTAGGCAGTTACTCCTGCCTCCACTGCTGTTGCTGCTGCTTCTGCTCCTGCTCCTGCCATTTGAAAGTTGAACATTTGAAGTGTGGCATGCAAAATGCAATTGCGTTGTTGCAACACGCCCACCTACACACGCGCCCACATATCCTGCTGATTACATGTGAATAGCGTATTTGTTGCTGCTATTATTTGTTGTTTTAGCTACTTTTTTTTCGTTTGTTTCTGATTCGTTGGCCCTTGCCTTTCATTTACATATTTTTCGGTTACCAAGCCGGAAACTATCTGTTGTTTTATTTTGTTGTGTCTTGGCCGGGTTAGTTATTGTACGGCAGTTACCCACTCCTCCCAGTCCCCCGAATTTATGCGAGTGCGAGGCAAAAGCGAATGTTTGTTCAATAAACGAAATAATTGCCAGCAAATGTGTTATGATGAAATTGTTTTGGGTTACTTCATAAATTAGCGCAAACAAATACACGCAGAGCCCATTGAAGCGAAAACTAAACGCGAATCGGGGGTGTCACTCAGCCAGCAGACATCCTTCATAAATGCGCTCCTTTTTTTTGGGTTTCTCCATTTAGTCTTTAAAAAAAAACCTGCCCCCTTACCAATTGCTTTCCAAATTACAAATTAAATGCGTGCACTGCCGACCTGCCTCCCTGATCGTGGTCTGGGTTTGTCTTAGTCACGGCCCAAAGTGATGGCTATAATCGGACTTGAATTGTCCGATCATTAATCACTGATCCCAGCCATGAGTCAGAGCAAGTGAGCAAGTACCCATGGAAATTGTGAACATGATTTTAGGGTACGGAGCATGGAAAATCACCAACCTGCAACTGCAAGTCTAAGCGCCAATTGCAGGGCCCGAAGAATTGGTGAGAGTTCCGCCTCTCGCTCCCCAAAGCCTGTAATCCGAATCTCCCGAGGATGAGTAATCCGAAGCCCGGCCAGATGAATGCGTTTATAAATATTTTGATGGTGGTACATCGATCAGGTTCGAGGGGAGCTCACCGAAGATGGATGGATTGTTGGTGGTTGCCTCTTCTAATGATCTTGTACAATTATTTTGGTGGAGTGCACTTGGAGAATCGGGTTACTCCATTTCCCACTACCATAGTCATATGAAATAATAGGTCCAAGTAAAAATTTCAAGTGTAAGGGAGATCCGTGGAGTGGCGGGCAACTTCAAGTCTATTGTCTTGTGGCTTGTAAACGGTTAAATTAAATTGATTTGCGTCTAATGCCCCCGACAAGTGGCCCGCTCTTGGCAGTCCAGCAGTCCGGCTCGCCGGCCATCCGGCAGTGTAATTAATGGTTTCATTAGACCCACCGCCGCTCCAGCGGCAGTCCCGCTGCTTATGTATGAATAATTGGTAATAATATTTAATGATTGGCCCACCTGCCCGAGCAATTGTATACCAAAAACTGACTCTCTTTTCCCATTTTTTTTCTGTCGATTTCAGCTTGTGGCGTTTGTTGGTGTAGTTTGTTGTTGTACCATTCGAGGTCCGTCCATGGGCGCCGCGGCATCCACAGTCCGGTGAAAATGGACAAAGGCCGTGGGAGGCTGCCGCCGAATTAGCAGTGCTGGAAAGTCCACACACGACAGTGCAAATATTTGCTCCCAAGAAGAGCTGCCCCCCAGAGAAGGAAAAGAAAGGAATCAGGACAAAGCCTTGCCGAAAAGGAGCCACAATAGACAAGGAATTAGCCATAAAAGCAGGCCATTAGGACAGCCAGTAGATCCCGCACCCCGGCTATCGACTTGGTCCACTTAAATGACCGAGTCCACCCAGTTGCAGACGGCGGAGAACAACAACGCGGGCGTGGTGAAAATGGAGCCCCCGCCGCCGGCGACCTCCTCCGCCTCCGCTGCTGCCGCCGCCGCCCACGCCCTCTCCTCTCTCTCCTCCCTTTCGATGGCGGCCACCGGCTCCGCCCTATCGCCAGCCACGCCTCCTCCTTCATCGCTTAACCTCTCGGCCCAAAACCAACAGCAGCACTATGCCCTCAAATGGAACGACTTCCAGAGCTCGATCCTCAGCTCCTTCCGCCACCTGCGGGACGAGGAGGACTTCGTGGACGTGACCCTGGCCTGTGACGAGCGCTCCTTCACCGCCCACAAGGTGGTGTTGAGTGCCTGCAGCCCCTACTTCCGGCGGCTGCTCAAGGCCAATCCCTGCGAGCATCCGATCGTTATCCTGCGGGATGTGCGCAGCGATGATGTGGAGAACCTTTTGAGGTAGGTTCTTTAGGCTTTAGCTTTTAATTTTAAATTTTTATTTATTACTTAAATTATTATCCTTTAGCTTTATGTACAATGGCGAGGTGAATGTCAGCCACGAACAGTTGCCCGACTTCTTGAAGACCGCCCACCTGCTGCAGATCCGCGGCCTGGCGGATGTCAACAATGGGGGCTACCCCTACTCCAAGGCTCTCTCTGCTGCCTTGAGCCACAACAACAATAACAACAACAGCAGCAGCAACAGCAACAACAGTCTAAACAACAACAATAATAACATTAACGAAAACAGTAATCAGAACAAGATTGGCAACTACCTTTCGGCTTCTCAGCCCCTGAACAGCAACAACAACAGCCACAACAGCAGCAGCAACAACAACAGCAGCAACAGCAACAACAACAGCAGCAGCAACAACAACACCAGCAGCGGATCGCTGAACAGCAGCCTGAACTCGCCCTTCAACGCGCCCCAGGTGCCCCCTGCTGTGGCAGCAAACAGCGCTGCAGCGGCCGCAGTCGCTGCTGCCTCTCTGACCGCTGCTGTTGCTGCAGCCGCCGCCGCCAGTAGTGCGCCCAGTGGTGTGGGCGTGGCAGGAGGCAGCGGCACGCCCGCCATCCAGGAGCTGAAGGCATCGTCGGCAGCGTCGCCCGTAAGAAAATCCAATCCCAATCCCGTCAAAGTAAAGTGTCGCTAGCACTCGACTTGTTTAACCCTTTGTGGGCAACTCCTTAACCCTATTTCGCCATTTCTTCTCCCATTTCTTGCAGGCCAACAGCAACCACTGGGACCTGGGCGAGATGGAGGGCAGCCGGAAGAGCCACCTGACACCGCCGCCCCAGAAGCGCATAAAGAGCGCCGATCTGTTCCGAGCCCAGCACGGCATCAGTCCGGAGCGACTGCTGATCGATCGCGACTTTCCCGTTGCCGGACAGCATCCTCTGACCCGGAACCGTAGCGGCAGGGACACGTCCAAGGATCGGGAACGCAATATGGAGCTAAGGGAATCGTTGCTGGGACAGGCTCTGGAGAATAGCAACGGACAGCAGGCCAATCAGGTGGGTTTCTCTGCCTCATGGGCTGAGAGAATCCTTTAATATTGACTTTCTCGTAGAAACACGATCTCGGACAGAGTGCCGGCGAGGACTCGAACAGCAGTGATACGGAGCCCTCGGATCGGGGTGATGGCCAACACGACGGCACCCTAGACGGCATCGACAATCAGCGCTCCCACTCGTTCCCCAATGCATTCCTCGGCCTGCAGGGCATTCCCGGCCTTCTGCCCGGGCCCTCCGGCATTGGCAGTGATTTCGGTGAGTAGGACCTTCCATTATCCTTTTTCGTGCCATGATATCCACATTGAAAGCTTGCATTCGTTTACACTCTTAATGTACGGAACCAAAATTGAATATTTGCCTCTTGTGTATGATTTAAAAAAAAAACCGATTGGATCGAGCGAGTGTTGAGAAGAAATTCGAAAAGTTTACGTCTATGATTTGCATTTTGGAAAGTAACTAACGGTCGATTTATCGATAAGAACTGAATGTACCACACGGCGTATACGCAATCCGAAACTAATTGGCATACAAAATATGAAAGTGTTTATTTTTAAGAATAAAAATCCAAAATTGGCAGATAAAAACGAAAATGTTAGGCCACATTATCGATTAATCGAATACTTGCCTGTTGTATATTATTTGTGAATTACAAAAACCAAAAACATTTTATATAATTTGCGTAATTTTTATTAGGAAGTAACTAACTTGAAACCCAATAAGCCGATAATCAGAGAAACCCATTGGTTATAAATAGAAAAGTTGTCAAAAATTGTGTAATTATCGGTTTATTTTCCAAACATTTATGCTTAAAAGTATTGTATGTATCATTCTAAGTCGTAGTTATAGATTTTCTTTATAAGCCAAGGCAGTGAAACTCACAAATAGCCCAATTCTACCAATCATTAGGCCGGGCTGGTCCAGGACCAGTACAGACCCGAAACCCATTCCCAATCCTGTCCAGAAGAAAGCCAAGAAATATGCGCGGAGCACGTGTCGCATTAGGATATTAGGAGGTGGATGTTGTGGATAAGTAGCAACTGTTGGCCGGAACATTCGGCGTGTGATTATAAACACATTCGGCTCTCCAAGATGGGGTGTGTATAATGTCCTTCGAAAGGACATTTACGTATGTGCAAATGTCCTACAAAACGGTCAACAAAAAATGATTATTGCCATTGCCGAAACACTATTGCTATTGGCATAACTATTGCTATTACGGTTATTGTGATTATGATTACCATTCGATTGGGAGGAAATGCGGAAGGATGTTGTGTTAAGGTGCACTGGGAGAAAAGTCTAGACAGCATATGCCTGTGAAGCTAAGGGGCATGATGTCCAGCTCTCTGTGTAAGAAAAGGCGTTACAAATATGATTCCAAGCAGATCCTTATTCCTGCCTTCCTTTCGGGTTGTTTGTGTTCTTAAGCACATGACACGCACTTTGTCCAATGTCGCAAATGTCGCATTTAACGCGCATTAAAATGATAATAGCCAAGGCATCCTGACCGGCTAAGCCTGGCCAGAGCCTGACCGGAGCCCGGACGAAGCCTGTTGTTTAATATTCAGGACACATAGATCATTGCAACAAATGTTGGCCGGCACTTGTCCAGTTTAGTGAGACAGTCGGGCTGAAGATGAGAAGAGAAATCAAATTTAATAAAGCATAAACATTCAATAAGCTTCGGGTCCGAAGCCAAAGTCATTTGAAATTCCGAGCAGTAACGGTAACGGACCAAAAACGGGGGCGGTCCCGGCTGCCGAGTCCTTTTGGCCATTTGGAAATCCGAATCGAAAATATTAACGGCCGTAGCCAAAAAGGATAAACTTTTGCGCAATGATAAAAATGATAAGTTTTTTCTTTTCGGTAGCTGCTGCCATGCCTTCTGTTTTCCGTGTTCATGTCCGCCCCTTTAGGAAAAAAGGAGGCGACACTCGAGACACAAACACATACGCAGTCAGGACACCCCCACACATCCTTACATATTTAGATTTTATTTCGTTTTATTGCTTTTTTGTGCATTCGATTTATTTGGTGGGCATTGGCAATGGCCGAAAACGGACTTGGAAATTGCGCACATGTGTGCGCAAGGAGTCGAGAGCTGAGTCCTGCCTCCAGCCTCTCCCCGTCCAGTAATATGAGTTGGGTTTGCATTTTAATATATTTACTTGGGCCCCACCCCCGCCAAACGCCCCCTCTGATGTGTCACACACTCGCAATCAGATGCGGGATGCCCTGTCCTGCCTCGTCCTGCCCCCGGTCCTGGCCAGAAAACTACAAAAGACGAAGGAAAAAATAAAGGAAAAAGTTTACTTTGCAAAAATCCATTGCAGAAACATTTATAAAGTGGCCCAAAAACCAGGACCTAGCTAGAAATCGTCTTCAAGGAGCTGGTAGAAAAAAGGACTAGAATAACACCAACGAACATGTACTGAAAGAAATTCTGTTGTCCTTAGTTAGGGATACAAGGATGACGCAGTTGAAACAATTAAAGTATAGATTTATAAAGAGTTTCTTTAAAAACAAATTCTAAAATTAATTTCTAAAATATATCCTTAAGCTGGCCTTTTTTTCTCAAGGTGTCTTTCTCAAGAGTCTGACTTAGTCCTTACTGGAAGGCGTCTCTGCTGTCGTTGCCGAGGACATTTTAAAATGAAAATGATAGCAAGGAGACAAGAAAGAAAGCGGACAGCCAGGCCGGCGACTGAGGCCTCGGCAGGTGGAAGGGTGGCAGGCTTCATGGAAGACCTGGGGAGTGGTGGTCCAAACATTGACAGCAAATAAATGGCAGCCGAAATAATAACACCAAAGGGGAGGTGACAGGGCAAAAAAAAAGGGGTAAAAATAAACTAGATGGCTTTCGAGAAATAAGCAAAAACCGAAAGGGTTACTAGATATCTCGACGGAAAAAAGAATTCTGGCAACGGGTGCAGCTGCAGCATCAGCAGCGCCATCTGGCGGCGGAGGTGCGAACACTGCAGTCGGCGCCGTCGCCGGCGGCGTGGGCGAAGGAATACAAACAGTTTTCCAAGATGGCCAAAAACCAAAAGAAATCATTGACATATGAGGCCAGTTGCTCATTTCTTGGCCGAAACCGAAAATGCAAAAGTTGGCGGAAGGAGGCGGGCTAGACGGGGGCGGGGCGGACATCCAACTTGGCCGGACCAACTGGCGCTGTCTGGGTTTTGGCCGGGAAGCCAATGCGCAAAGTTTCTTTCTCTCCATCGGCACAAACAATCTTGGCCACAAATGCACTTAATTCGGTCTCTCAGAAAGTATCTTCTCATCTCATATCATTTTCTGCAAATGCATTCCAAGGATATACCATGTCGTCCTCATTAAAATTTAATCTTTGGCCGATAACTACCAAGACTCTGCAGACCAAGTCTCTAAATTTCAGTTCGAAGGCAAAGGATTACCATCTACACCGTAGATAATTCATTTAGTTGGGTGTTGTCGGTGTTTGTTTTCGATTTTGGCTTAAAGCAGATCCTGCAATAGAGACATTTAATGACGCAGGCTTTACAGGACTCCTTTCGGGTCTCGGAGCTGCGTGAAATGCGTAAAATTAGCAGCCGGAGGCACAGGCCGAGGCAATAAGCATGCGAGAAACATTATTTCTCAAGCCAAACAAAACGCACCCAGCCAGGACATAGAGGGGGTGGTCGAAAGGTGCGTGTTGGCTATACACACACACACACACATACGTAGCTCGTCCTACGTCCTGGTTCGTTTGTTGGCGTGTTTGCATTTAATAAATTCGATTAACAACGGAATAAATACGCTTAAATGCGGAAAATAATGAAAACTAACGAAAAGCGTTTTGTTAGCCGGCTGCCCTTTGTCGGCGTCGCCTGGGCGCCGCTTTCATTCCATCCGGCATTCAATCATTCATTCCATACCATTCAGTTATTCATTTTACGAGCTGTGTTATTATTGTAAATATGTGCGGGGTCCTTGCTAGGACCGCTGTTCTTGTTGTTGCTAGTATAGCTGTTGTTCTTGTTGTTGTTGTTGCTGTAACAAATACAAATACATTACGTGAATAAACGCACCCATTATTTCATTTCATCAAGAACCATTAACGCCAACACGCCGAACTAAACCCCCCAACTCCTGCCACTGCTCCTCCTATGGTGGAGAGTCCTGGCAGCTTACCGCGCCTAGTGTGGCCACCACTCACACACCCATCTCCAGCTGCTGCAAATGAGCGAAGGACATGAAAATGTTCAAGTAGACACCCATACACATGGGGGCGCAAAACTTTTGCCAGGATAATGAGTAAAATGATTGGAAATACATTTGCAGTGCGTGCGTCTGTCGCATGTATCTGTATCTGTATCCGTGTCCTTGTATCCTGGTCCAGCTTCAATCGTTTAATGTATCCCCGACCGTGTCCAGGACATTGTTGGGTCATTGAGAAAATGAAAGGAAATGTAATAAAAAGTGGAGATGATCCACCGACTTCACGAGGCCCCTAAATAGTAGGCAACAAAACGCTGTCGATCTTTGCTGTTCAAAATTCCTTTGGGCTAAGTATTCTGGAACTATTGCAGATAATTTTCATATATATGCACAATATATATATATAGTTTTAGGTGGCAGCTCTCGTGGGCAGCCGAATGCCACGCCCGGCTTCGAAAACTAAACAAAACAAAAATGTTATCAAATTAATTTCAAAAACTCCATCTGCTGCACGTCACACTCAAGTGAGTGTTGGTGAATAGATGGGTCGCCGTGTGAGCTAGTGTGTGTGCGTTGGAGTATATAAGTTTGGTACCCCCTGGCCTACACGAGTAGATATATGGGGGGGCCAGGAGCAGGGCAGCGGCAACAAAGTGGCAAAAGTGCCAGGACACTTTGGGTCCTGACTGCGGCTTCGGAGGCTGGGCCCGATTGGGGGATGGCCCGAAAACGAAACCGAAACTAAAAACTTTTGAGTTAAATTCCCGCTCTAATGTTTATGTAGATGAGGGATTATGTCATTGTGCCCACCCAGTCATGCCCACCCCCCCTCTACTCCTAAAAGAAAAGCCCAGAAACTGGAAACCCAAAAACGGACAGCGGACAGGTTTCCACACATGAGGAATGGGAGAGGGATAAACCCATTGCTACACTTGAAAATTCTAATTTTCTGCTTAAACTTCAAATGAAATTGTTTTGCACGCACACACTCCAACTTTTTGGAAATACTATAGTAGATGTGAAAAATGGAAATGAAAAACCATTATTATTATGTATGAAGGAATAAGTTTCCA